GGGCCAGCGGTGACTCGCGGCTCTACACGGATGGCAGAGGAAGTGACTCAGGCCCCGGCGGGAGAAAGTGAGCCACGGGTCCCCTGCCCGTTTGCCTCTCCCCCACCACGAGGATGGGCAGGGCTGGGCCTGTGCAGCCGCAACCCCGGGGCCCTTCCTCCCGGGCCCAGCCAGCCCTGGGGATGGGCAGCTGGGGAGTCTTGGCTTAAAGGAGCTCTGGTCCCCTCCACTCTGCCTGGATCCTTGGGGACTCTGTGATGGTGGCCCCCATTGTGTCAAGCTGGGCCAGACTGTTTGGTTCTCTGTGTTTACGGAAGGCCTGAGGTCAAGGGCAGCTGCTCCAGAAGGGGAGCTGGGGGATGGGGGCATCCCTAGGGGGCTCGGCCCCCCCAAATCCTCTCTCCCAGGCTGGAGTTGTCTGCACTGCCTGTGGTCTTGGCTGACCCCGGCCCCACCATTTTTCTCTCCTTTTCTTTGGGGGTCTCCCAAAGCCAGGGGGGCATGCATCTCTAGAAACTGACAGTGCCAGCTCTGCAAGGAGTTCTCTAGGGTGAGACTGAGGTCTGTGTCTTGGCTCCACTGGTGGAGATCTCAGAACAGATGGCCCTTCCCTAGTCTCAGTTTCCTGATCTGTAAAATGGCAAAACAGTAGGACCAGCTTTACAGGGTGGCTCTGAGGATTTCATGATAACGTAGATGGTGCCCCAGTTCAGCTCTCCTGTCCTTTAGAGGCTTCTGGGGACAGGCTCAGTTCCAGGCTGTGAGGAGGGAAGTTTTCTGGGTGGGGTTTCAGTCTTCCGGGAAAGGAAATTCATGCTCTAAGAATTTCCCATCAAGGTGCTTTGGAAGTTGAGCTGGCTGTGGGGGCCCCGAGGGGGTTACATGGAGGGTGGGAGGGAAGGTGTAGGAGTAGGAACCTGTGACAGGCCCAGGGGTTGAGTGAGGGGCAGGCATGAGCTGGTCAGGAAGGATACAGAGATATCTAGCTGACACCTGTGGTGCCTGCCATGTGCATGGCCCTGCTGTAAGTCCTCTACAGGTATCAGTTCATTTAATTCTCACAACGACCCTTGCAGTAGTCTCAGTTTTTATTCCTATCTACAGATGATGAGAGTGAGGCTCAGAGAGGGTGAGTAACTAGCCCAAGGACACACAGCTATTGAGTAGGGGTACTGGGATTTGAACCCAGACAGTCTGCCTCCAGAGTCTACTAAGGGTGGGTTAAAGGAAGCCAGGCAGTCCCTCCCCTCAAATCCCAAGAATGTCCATAGGACTAGAGTTGTTCACCTTGGAGCGGCTATTCAAGTCGCCAAGGTAGAGTGGGGATGAGCCAGGAATGTCAGGTCATGCCATTGATCCCTGTCTGCTGGAATCCTGGTAGTTCACAGTGGTGCAGACTTACTTGTATCCCTCCAGTGATGGGGAGCTCACTTTCTGTTTCCACCTTTTTGCTCTCAAAGGAATCAATCCAGGAGGACTGATGAAAGCAGATGATTCTGCCCTGTCCTGGGCCCCGTATACCGATCATGGTAGCTCACTTAGAAGGTCAGTGGGCCGGAGAGATACATGGATTCTGGGCAGCTCCATCCTTGTTTTCTGTATGATGTCAGGAAATCGCTGGCTGTCTCTGGGCCTTGAATCCAAACGCCATAAGATGGAGAATTGGGGCCAAATTTGCAAGGTGATTGTGAGCTCTGAGTTCAGAAGTATAAAGCAGGGGTCAGAGCAGAGGTCGGGGGGGGGGGCTTCCTGGAGGAGGTGTCATTTGGATTGGGGATCAGATGTAGACAGTGACCGGCAGAAAAAAGAAGGAAAGAGAAAGGGTCCAGGAGAGACATGTTTCTGTCCCTGGATGCTGGGTTTCCTTTCACTGGTCTGGAGTGGCAGTTTCAAAAGGAGCCAAAATGGGAGACACCTGCTTTGGAAAGATCCCCAGTGTTCTCCTTACTTGCAGCGAGTAATAAATCCTTCCTTCTCCCTAAAAACAAAAACACCAAAAACCAAAAAAAAAAAAAAACCCCAAAAGGAGCCAAAATGTTCAGAGAGGACACAGAGTGAAACCTTAAATATCACAATGTAGGAAACAGCGACCATTCCCCCAAACACTTTCACATCCTTCCTCTCAGGGGGTCTTGTGATGTCACCAGGGCAGGATGATGAACCCAACTGACCAATGATTAGACTGACCAGGCCCTAGAAATCGGGGTTCCATTACACATGGTGGGACACTGGAGACGGGATCTAGCTTGAGGGGGCCAGCTTTGTTCAAGGAAGGCCCAGCCCAGGAAGGAGACAGTGAACTCCTGCATGGACCACCCCTCCATTTAATGCTGCCCTTAAATAGTCCATCCAAAAGCCACTTCTTCCTGGAAGCCCTCCTTGGTTTCGTCCCAAAGTCAAACTCCTCTCATGCCCCATGGTTGCCAGGCTTCCTTTTGTCTGGCTTGTGGCAGATGATTGCATCTGTCACCACAGCCATATGTAGTTCCTCACAGGTTGAGGATGGCTGTTCGTGACTGCCAGCACCCAGCTCAGTCGTAAGGCCAGCAGAGGGCCAAGCCACCCAGCATCTCTCTGTAAGTACCAGGCACGCAGGTTCCCTGCCAGGCACTACAGTCCTGACCAGGCAGGGAAAGCCCTTGGTGTCTGGAACAATCTTGGGCAAGTCATTTAATTCCTTGGATCTCAGGTTCCCCGTCTGTGAAATGGGCCAATGATAGGGCTGACTTCACAGGGTTGGAGTGAAGATTAATACAGGTATAGGGGTGAGGGGGGTGGGTCAGCACAGGCTGGCAGGTAGTAGGTACTCAGCTAATAGAGGCTGAGGGGGGCGCATTCTACAAGAGGATGGGGCTGAGGGGAGCTGGATCTCCCCCGACTTGGGCCACAATATGTCTCCTGACCAGACTGGGACGTCCCCCCTGCCTTTCCAGCTGCCCTGGGAACTGGCTCCCCCTGGTGGCCATACCAGGAAGTGCCTGTCTCCTCTATCCCCTGGCTGTAGAGGGCGCTGTGGCTGCACTGATCCTTCACTCCATTTCCCTCACGGTCCACCTGCCCAGCGACCTCCGTGCACACTAGGCCCTGTGCACAGAGATGGATCAGCAGCTCCCTGGGTAGCACCAGGAGGAGGGATGTACCATCCTGCACCTCCCAGAGTTGGCTAACGGGACCCTATGAAATAGAAACAGACACACAGACATAGAGAGCCAAAGGAGGCCAGGACTGACTGTAGAGGGAGTTGAGGAAGGCTTCCTGAAGGAGGTGACCTCTGAGCTGGGTCTTAGGGATGATGATGGTGAGGTTCCAGGAGGAGAGCCCTGCAAGCCCCCTTTTTCCTGTGTTCTTCAGGCCTGGAGGGGGCAGCGTGGTTGGGGTGGTTCCTGGTGGTGCTGGGGAGCCTCTCCCCCCAAGTCTAGCCTGATTACCCCATCACTACTGGATCTGGAGGGAGGTACTATTATTCGTCCTGTTTTCCATGGACCCTTTTACAGGGTCATGCAGCGAGCAAGAGGTGGAGCTGGGACTTGAACTCAGCCACTGCCTCTTTTTAATTTTTATATTTTAATTTTATTTTATTGAAGAATATGTGATTTACAATGTATTGATTTCTGCCGTACAGCAAAGTGACTCAGTTATACACATATCAACATTCTTTTTTTTTTTTTTTTTTTTTTTTTTTTTTTGGTTTTTGGGTTTCCTAGTTTTTCCCTTACCCATTTTTTTTTTTTTTTGGAAAAATTTTTTTTTTTGGGTTTTCTGCCCATTTTTTAAAACTTGTGTTATGCGGGCCTCTCACTGTTGTGGCCTCTCCCATTTGCGGAGCACAGGCTCCGGACGCGCAGGCTCAGCGGCCATGGCTCACGGGCCCAGCCGCTCCGCGGCATGTGGGATCCTCCCGAAACGGGGCACGAACCCGCGTCTCCTGCATCGGCAGGCGGACTCTCAAGCACTGCGCCACCAGGGAAGCCCTCAACATTCTTTTTAATATTCTTTTCCATTATGGTTTATCACAGGATATACTGAATATAGTTCCCTGTGCTCTACGGTAGGACCTTGTTGTTTATCCCTCCTATATGTAATAGTTTGTATGTACTAATCCCAAACTCCCAATCTATCCCTTCCCCATCCCCCCCTGGCAACCACAAGTCTGTTCTCTATGTCTGTGTGTCTGTTTCTGCTTCATAGATATGTTCATTTGTGTCATATTTTAGATTTCACATATAAGTGATAGCATATGGTATTTGTCTTTCTCTGTCTGACTTGCTTCACTTAGCATGATAATTTCTAGGTCCATCAGTGTTGCTGCAAATGGCCTTATTTCATTCTTTTTTATGGCTGAGTAGTATTCCGTTGTATATATGCACCACATCTTCTTTATCCATTCTTCTGTCGATGGACATGTAGGTTGTTTTCACATCTTGGCTGTTGTGAATAGTGCTGCTATGAACATAGGGGTGCATGCATCTTTTTGAACTATAGTTTTGTCGGGGTATATGCCCAGGAGTGGGATTGCTGGATCATATGGCAACTCTAGTTTTAGTTTTCTGAGGAACCTCCATACTGTTCTCCACAGTGGCTGCACCAACTTACACTCCCACCCACAGTGTAGGAGGGTTGCCTCTTCTCCACACCCTCTCCAGCATTTGTTATTTGTAGACTTTTTAATGATGGCCATTCTGCCTGTGTGTTGATAACCTCACTGTAGTTTTGATCTGCATTTCTCTAATAACTAGCACTGTGGAGCATCTTTTCGTGTGCCTGTTGGCCATTTGTATGTCTTCTTTTAGCCACTGCCTCTTGATGCTCAGCTCCTGGCAGCTCTGGGGAGGTCCACGGACTGTTTCCACACTTGCCTCCCCACCTCATATCCCACATCCACGCTACCCTGGCTTCTCCCTCTTCAGGGCTGGCACAGCCACCCTGTGGGTCAGGCCCTCAAGCCAACACTCCTGGCCTCTTTCAGGTGCTGACTTCTCAGGGTGACTTTGGGAAGGAAGATGGCTGCCCAAGTGCTGCTGCAGACAGTGCCGTTCCTGCTGGGTCTGCTTCTGGTTCCAGGTAGGCTTTCTTGGAGGTACCCTAGGACTTACGTTAAAATGCCATCCTTACATTAAGGATGTCTAGGTCAGCTTCCAGCACATCCACTAACCCCTTTGGGCAGGCACAGGCCTGGGGACACAGCTTAGCAAGTGGGTGATGGTACCTTGGAGAAAGGAACATGGACTGGGTTTTGGCCCTACTCACCCCTGTAGCCAGTGCATCCTTGTGCAGTACACAGCCTGCACAGCTCTCTGTGGCAGGCATGGCCTCATTAAATGTTTTATTGCTATTTAAAATATTATTTTGTCTTTGAAATTATTATTGATTTTGAGTTTGTTCTTTTCATATTTTGAAGCCAATAATCTTTGAATAGGGTAGACTCACATTTTTGGAGACCCTTTGAGGTATAGGTCCTTGGAATGTGTGTGGGTCCTAGGCACTGGGCTCCTGTGTTCTGGGCCCAGAGCCTGCCCCCGGGCCCAGAGTCCCATCTGCGGTCTCTGCTTCCTCAGGTGCCCGTGGCGGGGGCCCCCGGGAAGACTTCCGCTTCTGTGGCCAGCGGAACCAGACGCAGAACAGCAGCCTCCATTATAAGCGGACATCTGAGCTGCACATCTCCGTCAAGAACACTGAGGAGGCCCTCGCAGTGCATGCGCCCTTCCCTGGAGCCCATCTGGCTCCTAGGTCATTCCCTCATCCCAGGGGCCTCTACCACTTCTGCCTCTACTGGAACCGCCATGCTGGGAAATTGCATCTTCGCTACGGCAAGAGCGACTTCGTGCTGAGTAACCAAGCCTCTGACCTCCTGTGCTTCCGGCATCAGGAGGAGAGCCTGGCCGAGGGGGCCCCACTGTTCGCCACCTCTGTCAGCTCCTGGTGGAGCCCCCAGAACACCAGTCTGCCCAGTGCAGCCGGCTTCATCTTCTCCTTCCACAGTAAGGCGACTTCCAGGCAGAAGGAACAGCCTGGCCGAAGGCCTGGAGGCGGGGAAGGCCAAATGCGCGGCGAGGGGGTTAAAGCAGACGGGGCCGAATGTCAGGTCACGGAGCAGGGGCCCTGTCCGCAGGCAGTGGGGAGCCAGGGAAGGTGTCTGAGGCGTGGAAGAGTGTGATCCAAGGTGCGCTTTGGGGAGGTTTGTGGGAAGTTAGGGGTGAGGGCGGAGGGGCAAAGTGCCATCCAGCGGCTGCGGGGAAGGCCCAGGTAAAGGACGATGAGGCGTGAACAGGGTGGGAGCAGAGAGAATGGAGACACGGGACTGGAGGTCAGGAGGCGGAGGAAAAATTCTGCTTCATCAGCATCACCTAGATTGTTTATCCCCATTTCTCGGAGGAGAAGCTGAGGCACAAAGTTGCACAGCTAGTGAGTGAGGGAGCCAGGATCTGAACCCAGCAGCTGACTGGCATGAGGGGATGGGGCAGGGGTGCAGGGGAGAGCAAGAGGTCAGAGGTCAGGACGCAGCGAGGCTGGAGGCTGACACTGAGGTGTGCAGACTGTGTGTCTGGCTGGGGTGTGACAGGTGTGGTGTGGCCGCTGCCTTCTATTCGGTGCTGAGTGGGGGCAGGGAGGAGGGGGTGGCCCAAAGGAGGTGGAGGCTCTACTCAGGGTCTAGGATTTCCCTGATTCTGGGGCCTTTCAGGCAGCTCCAGTTTGCGGCGGGGCTGCCAGGGGCGGGGGCAAAGGGCGTTGAATATGTTAGCAGCTCTGGGCCCTTGGAAATGCTGGGGGGTGGCAGCAGTGGGCCCAGGTGCTGCCCAGGGCAGCAGACAGGGGCCGGGGCAGTAGATGGGGCTCCCCGCCCCGAGGCTGGGATTCTGCCCCAACCTGGGAGGCTTTAGGGCAAAGTCAGGCATAGCTGCAAATTGACTTCCTGAAGAGCAGATCTGGCCTGGCCTTATTTGGTCTGTAGAGAGTTTTTTGAAAACATGAGCCAGGGTTTTCAAATGATCTAAAAATCAGGCTTTCTACCTTATAAATTCAGATGGGACCACAGGGCCTGCCTTCCTTGCTGGTATAGGGCATGCCCCCTCCCCACAGGTCCTTCCTCCCATCTGCCTACCTCATCTGAGTCCCGTCTGAGCCCTGGAGGTGCCTGAGTCTGCAGCCCTTGGGTGCACGGTACCCAGGTGGAGGGCCTGGAGCCACCACACAAGCCCCCCGCCCCCCCCCCCCCGGCCTCGCTGGCCCTGGGGAACTGGCCCTCCCAGCTCCCTGTGTGTAGTCAGAAGCATACCTGGGTAGGTGTGTCCCAGCCCACCCTGCTGGGGCTGGAGTTGCTGGGGGCTTCACAGGACAGAGCCCCGTCTGTCTGGCTGCAGCTCTCAGTGACTTGGGGGAGTCCACTGCACCTCTTGGAGCCTCAGTTTCCTGCTCCATAAAATGGGGATAGAAGCTTTCAGAATGAGTGTGGCCGGGCACCTCATTCAACAGCCTTTGGTGGGTCTGTCCATCCCTCTCCCCCAGCTCCTCCCCTGAAGACCTCCCACAGCGCCTCGGTGGACACATGTGAGCTGAAAAGGGACCTCCAGCGGCTCAGCCAGTTTCTGAAGCATCCCCGGAAGAGCTCAAGGAGACCCCCGTTCACCCCCGTGGACCAGTAAGTGTGGGTCCCAGTGTGTGAGGGGGAAGGAGGAGGCATCCTCCAGACCAGGACAGGGCAGGGCAGGGACCTGGAGTGGGCAGCTGTATGGAAACCTCCCCTGGGGCTGGAATGTTCTCATCTTTCCATCTTCTGCGGGAGGAATTGAGATACAGCCCTGGAGGCCAAGCCCCTCCCCTGCCTGAGTCATTAAAAACAAATGTCACACTCAGCAGCCCAGGTCAGCCGCACCCAAGCCCTCCTCTCCACCAACAAAGTGAAAAGGATTGACCCATTTTACAGCTCCGCAGACTGAGGCCCAGAGATGGGTAGGGCTGCTCCGTTGCACAAAGTGGGTCGGTCCAGGCAGAACTGGGCCCAGAACCTGGTGGCCGAGTCCGAGGATAGGTCCCCACCCCACTCCTTTCCTGTGTGCTCTGACGCTCTGGCTAACTCCCTGCCACCCCCCGCAGGTCATTCTGTCTGCCCCACCCTCTTTCCTGTGTATCTGCCTGAATCTCTCTCCCTCTGTCTCCCTGCCTACTTGCCCGCCTGGATCCGCCCCTCACACCCAGCAGTCACCCACCCTCTCTCCCCACTGCCAGGCAGCTGCAGAGCCTGGAGTCGAAGCTGACCTCTGTGAGCTTCACAGGGGACACGGTGTCCTTTGAGGAAGATCTGGTCAACGCCACGGTGTGGAAGCTCCAGCCCACAGCCAGCCTCCAGGACCTGCGCATCCACTCCCAGCGGGAGGTCAGGGGTCAGGATGGTGGCCAGGGCAGGAAGCAGATGTGGAGGCCGTGAGCACTCCCCTCCTCTGGGCCTCCGGGAACCAGATGTGTGCTGATGAGGAAGGCCTCAGGCCCAAAGTCTACCTCAGTCAGTGGCTACCCGGTGGAACTGAGGACCCTTCCTGATACAGTGGTGGGGCCAGAGGTGGGGAGGGACCTGGTCCCTGCACAGGGGGCTCCTGTGGCACATCCTTGTGGACTGACAACCAACACCAAAATGCCTGTGCCTGCAGCCCTCTTGTGAGCCTGCCCTTGGTGGGCCTAGTTGGGGGCAGAGGGCTACACACCCTGCCTTTCTTATCCCCCAGCACACCAGGGAGCCATAGGCAGGGTCAGTGTCTGAAGCCCAGACACCAGAATATCACGTGATTCTCCTAGGCCCATTTTCCCCTGGGGCCCTGGGTCCTAACGACAAGGCACCCCAGCCAGCGCTGGTGCCAGGGAAAGGAGGGGTGAGGAGGGCTGTCGTGAGTCAGACCTGGCTTCCTGAAGGTGGTGGGCTTATAGATGGCAGCGTCCAGGAAGGCATGTGCTGGGGGGATGTGGAGGGGATCTGGAGGTCCACCTCTGGCTGAGCCCCAGTGGGACTCTGGTCTGCAGGGGGAGCAGAGCGAGATCCTGGAGTACTCGGTGCTGCTGCCCCGCGAGCTCTTCCAGAAGACCAAGGGCCAGAGGCAGGAGGCTGAGAAGAGACTCCTCCTGGTAGACTTCAGCAGCCAAGCCCTGTTCCAGGTATGGGGCTGTTGTCCTCGGGCCCTCCCCTGGGGGAAAGCAGCTTCTGTCTGACGCAGAGATGGAAGGGTAGGCATGGAGCCCAGCCCCTTCCTCCAAGAGTCCTTGTAAAGTCAGAAGTCGGACAGCAACATGCAGATCTCCCTGGGAGATTTAGACCTGGGAGAGTGTTATTCTCACTATGGTGTAAATGACTACCTGTGCAAGAATTTTTTTCCAGAGGGAGACTCAAAATCTGGGAGCAATGTGCCGGGCAGAGACAGGAGTCTAGAAGGTCTGGGGAACTTCTGAGCTTTTCTTCTCAGTCCTGAGCCCCCTCCCTACCCTCTTCCCCCACCCCACATACCTAGGACAAGAATTCCAGCCAGGTCTTGGGGGAGAAGGTCTTGGGTATCGTCGTACAGAACACCAAAGTAGCCAACCTTTCGGAGCCCATGGTGCTCACCTTCCAGCACCAGCCACAGCCGGTGAGTGTGAGCAAAGCAACCAAGGACACAAGGGTCCCCGTTGTCCATGTCCTCCTGTCCCCCTCTCTTCTGAATCACTTGTCTTTAACGAAATGATTGACTGGCTGAGGGCATCGGCCAGTCAGGTACAAAAGGGGTGGGGCCCCGGCACTGACTCCCTCAGCCTGGCTGGAAAGGAGTAGACTGTCGTGAGACCCACTCCCCTTCTTTCTTGTCCCTACAGAAGAATGTGACTCTACAGTGTGTATTCTGGGTTGAAGACCTGACATGTGAGTGTGGAGGGGCCTCTGAGCTGGGCAGGTACCTGGAGGCAGGTACCAGGGGGTCCTGGAAGGTGGGGGAGATGGAGTTAATCAAGGGGGGCTTCCTGGAGGAAGGTGGGCTTTGAAGAGGGAGTGATGTCAGGCTAGGGATCTGCTGAGGGGAGCAAAGGCTCAGAAGAGTGATGCAGTCGTGCATTTGTGGCGTATAGTGGGGTGCTGGGGTGCTGGGCTTGATCTCAGAGCCCCATGCTGGCCCCTCCTCAGTGGGCAGCCCGGGGAGCTGGAGCGATGTGGGCTGTGAGACCATCAGGAGAGAGACGCAGACGTCCTGCCTCTGCAACCACCTGACCTACTTTGCAGTGCTGATGGTGCGTGGCCCCCTCCTTCCCTGCTCCCATACACAGGCCGGGTTCTTGCTGTGTGGCCGCCACTTCTCGCATATATGTCATCCATTCCTCACAACAAGCCCCGAGGTGACTCCTGTTGTTGCCCCATTTTATAGATAAGGAAACTGAGGCTCAGAGAGGTTAGGCAATTTACTCAAGTTCACACAGCTAGTAGTAAGTAAAAGAGCTGGTCTCTAAAGGCCTTGTTCTTTATTCCCAAATTTTGGTGCATGATAAAAATGCAGGTTCCTGGTCCTAACCTAGGATTCTGATTCCACAGGGCTGGGGTGGGGCCAGGAGTATGTTTCTAAAGAGCCCTCAAGGGGATGCTGAGGCCCTTGTGTCGGACTTCAGTGCCCCCAAGATCTCAGAAGCTTTGTGTCCTAGGCTCATTCTCCCCAAATCTCAGGACCCTAGCATCTGAGGGACCGGAGTGGTCTTCCAGCTCTCTCTGGGCCTGGCGAGCTCACTGCCTCACAGGAAACTTATTTCTGTTTTAAATGCTACAGAAAAATAATTAGTGCCGGGACAGGAAAGGGATTCTCTGGTGGAGGGCTCTTGACCTTGGGGGGGACAGGGATCCATTTGAGAATGTGGTGAAAAATGCCCTCATGGGACCACACTCTGCTCAGTTTGGGGGGCAGGTGTGGTTCATAGGCGCCCAAGGCCATCCAGGGACCACGGGTTAGACCTCCATCTGGGCTAACCCTCAGTGTCGAGTTGGGGGCACTGAGGCCAGCCCTGACCTGCCTCGTGGACCCAGGTTACCTCTGTGGAGTTGGACGCCATACACAAGCACTACCTGACCCTCCTCTCCTACGTGGGCTGTGTCATCTCCGCCGTGGCCTGCGTCCTCACCATCGCTGCCTACCTCTGCTCTAGGTAGGACCTGGGAGCAAGAGGGAAGGGGGCAGGGAGAGCCTCCATTCTAGGCCCCCGGGCTGGGACCCCACGATGAGGGAGACCCACCCTGGAGATTGGCCTGACCCCGAAACGTGTGTATAGTGTGGAAGCCCTGGGAGGTGTAGCCAGCTGACCCCCAGGGGGGCATTTCCTGCTCAGATCTGTGGTGTTTGGGTAACATAGCATTTCCGGTTTACATTAACTGCCAACATTTAAAATTGGGAGAGTTGACATAAGAATCTAGATTCCTGTCTTTGAATAACCAGATGTGATACTGCTGGGGGCACATGATAATATGACAGTGATGGTAATGATAATGGTGAACACTTACATCAAGCGGCCCACATGCCACACACCGTTCTAAGTGCTTTACACGCGTGAACTTGGTTCATCCTCGCAAGGGCCCTATGGAAGAGTGCTCAGAGAGAGTAAGTGACTTGACTGAGGTCACACAGCGGGCAAGTGGTAGAAGCAGGCTTGAGCCCAAGCAGGCTGATGGCTCCAAGCCCACAAGGCCCGGGTCAGCGGAGCTGCCTGGCAGTGGCCGCTGTGGACAGGTAGAGCCTCCAGAATTTTCTCCAGCCCCTGTTCCCTAGTGCCTGTTTCGAGGCCAGATCCCCTGGCTCCATGGAGGCGTGTGTCACCCCAGTCGTTTGGGTGCCTGCTGAGAGAAGGGGCCGCCTTCGGTGGAGTGAAGAACGCCTCCACCCACCCTCAGACCGGCTGTGTGTGGGGTCTGGATTGTCAGTGCTGGGCTTGGCCTAAACTGAGGTCCACCTGTAGTTGGGCCCTGGACCCGTCTGGGTGGAAGGGAGACATCCTTAGTTCTACTGTAGAATGAAGACTCTTGGAGTGTGCTCACTGTTCTTGCGGGGACCAGGGAGGGTAGAGCCGTGTGAAGGCGTGGCCACAGCTGCACACGTGGTGGGGCTGGAGCAGGCCATGAGGAGGGACGGCTGGCAGGTTGAGTGGAGAGCTGGGGGTGAGGGCACAAGCCCCTCCCAGCACCTGCCCATTGATCACAAAAGTGCCCCGGGACAAAGGGACAGGAACCCTTAGGGACTGAGCACCTTATCTGTGCCAGATGCTTTGTATCAGTGTAACCCTCACCCCAACCCTGCGAGGGGGGCCGTCCTCCCACTTCACAGATGAGTAAACAGGGTGAAGGGGATGGGGCCAGCCTAAGCTAAGGTGGTGCCTCAAGTTAGGGGTAGGGTGGGCATGGGGATCCAGGATGGTAGGTGTTCTTCTGAACTCTCTGGAGCAGGCAGTGGATGGTGCCAGGCGGACAGAAAGGCTGGGGACAGGAAAGCTGACAGTGCCCTGTACCACACAGTATCTTGGGATGGGAGCAGGACGTACACACACAGACTTGCAAACTCAAGGACACAGGCCACACAGCATGTACTCACAGATGCACAGTAGTGCAGACAGACAGGCAGACACAGAACATGGGTGGCATGGATTCTCCAAAACAGCAAGAAATCCAGTCTTTCCCTTCTGACTTTGGGAGCATCTGGTTGATTGTAGTGGCTGATTTGGCTTCCTCACTGTGCTTGGTTAAATCTGCCGTTAAATGCACACATGGTGCCTAAGCCTGTGGGTGTTGGACACATGGAAGGTGCACGGGGACAGAGCCTAGCTGTAGCCACGGGAGGCCGTGTGTGTGTGTGTGTGTGTGTGCGCGCACGCACGTACACGCATGTGTGCACGTGTAACCTGGGAAGGCTGCCTGGAGGAGGAGGGGTGGGTGGGCACACCTCCCACCTCCCACCTCCCACCTCCCACCTCCCACCTCCCTGCCTTCCCACGCTGGCCACCAGAGTGACCGTGCCTGCCCTACCTCCACCCTCACCTGTGCAGGAGGAAGTCTAGGGATTACACCATCAAGGTGCACATGAACCTGCTGCTGGCTGTCTTCCTGCTGGATGTGAGCTTCCTGCTCAGTGAGCCGGTGGCCCTGGCAGGCTCCGAGGCTGCCTGCCGCGCCAGTGCCATCTTTCTGCACTTCTCCCTGCTCGCCTGCCTCTCTTGGATGGGCCTCGAGGGCTACAACCTCTACCGACTCGTGGTCGAGGTCTTCGGCACCTATGTGCCAGGCTACCTGCTCAAGCTGGGCATCGTGGGCTGGGGTGAGTTGGTGGAGGGGGTTGGTGGGCCCCCCCAGTGCCTTTTCCTCTTGGTTTCTGGCAAAACATGGGCGCTTGGTTCCACTTCTCCACCTACCCCTCTGACCATTCCCTCACTGCTTCCTTCATTCACCCATCCTCAGGGGTTGTTTACCTTGGCTAGGTCAAGGTCCTCTTTAGGAAGATGAGGTGATGAGCCCTGTCCCCAAGAAACACTTACATATTCTCTACATCTTTCACTCTCTTACAAGTGGGGTTTGCAGACGGAGCCACCATGTATGGATGTGCAGGTTGTGCACTGCTCAAAGGCACCCAGTTGTGGATGAGTGGGGCCGTAATTCAGTCCTCACCTGATGCAGCCAGGCTTATGGTGGCCCTGCCTGTGGATCCCCGTGAACCTCAGGTAACAGGTTCTCCGTGGCTCTGGTATTTGTTGTTGGCCAACAGCAACCCAATTCACCTGTGGCCCAGACCTGCCTTTTGTCAGACCTGGAGGCCCAGGGGCACACACCACAAGTCCTTGAACGTTGCACAGGCCCACCAACCTCCACATGTCCCCGACCCCAACTTGCTGCTCCTCCCGTGTTTCTCATTCAGCACTTTCTTGGTTCACTTCATTGATTTACATGAAATTCCTTCAGAGTTGGTTCTTTGTCAAAATCCAGGTGTTCGGTGGTGGGCAACCCTTCCAGGGAGCTCTCAATCTCCACCTCATGGACAAGGTCGAGGCCCAGGGCAGACATCCTCTCGGGGTATAACTCTAGATGTCCCCTGTTGAACTGTCCTCCACCCCACCAATGTCCTCTCTGCTCCTCCAACCTCTCCTTGTGACAGCCAGCCCCTCAGCAGGGAACTGCAGGCCCTTTCCCCTAGGGGGCCCCAGGATGCTGAGCGGTAAGGTCAGGGGAGATGGGCTCCCTTTATGAGAAACCAGAACTGGAAAGGAGAAGGGTGGGTCCGAGCTTGGAGGACCTGCCCCAGATGGGGCTGGGTAAGCTCTGGGACCACAGGTCTGAGAGGAGGTCTCACCAGAGGGAAGGGGAGGGCAGGCCTCAGAGGGTGGGAGATGGAGCTCCATGCTTTGTTGCCTGCAGGCTTCCCCATCTTCCTGGTGACGTTGGTGGCACTGGTGGATGTGAACAACTACGGCCCCATCATCCTAGCTGTGCACAGGACCCCAGAGAGTGTCATCTACCCTTCCATGTGAGTGGCTTGTGCAGTGGAGGCAGGAAGGTGGGCCTCATGGTGCAGAGGTCAGAGAGTAGCCTGGGCCCAGGTCACGCTGACCAGGAGACTCCTGGGTGCCAAGCTGCTGGGGGTATTGGGGTGACCCTTTTCTCAGGGAGGGTGAGAACGGGCCTGGATCTGCCAGTCACTTGCCAGATGACCTTGCACAGGTCCTAGCCCCTCTCTGGGCCTCAGTTTCCCCACGTGCGAGTGGGAGTATGGGTTGGAGCAGCTGAGCCTCCAGCATGTTCCTTTGCTGCACCCTTCTGTCTTCTTCCCCATGGAAAATGGGAAAGGCTGAGGCCCAGAGAAGGCAGGAATCCACACCACACTGCTCAAAGGCACCCAGCTGGGGGATGAGTGGGGCTGAAATCCAGTCCTCCTCCACTCACCTAATTCACCCAGGCTGATGGTGGCCTGGCCTCTGTGTCCCCCTGAGCCAGACTAGAATCCAGGGCTCCTGAGCCCTAGGCTAGGAAGGAACCCTTCCCATTCCTCCAGTGTTTTGAAAATTTCCGTTTTTTTACATCGTGACCTTGTGATTTTTGCCTCACTTTGTGCCATCTGTATTATTATTATTTGTTTAATTTTTTCTTTAAATCATCTGGCTTGTTAAATGTGTTTTTTAAAAAAGTCATATCAACTATAAATGGGAAATAAGCATTACTTGTCATAAACAGTGAGTAGTCATGAAAGCAAACACAGGAACAAGGAAACCCTGGTACTAAATTCTTGATGAAAGCCGTGAGCCTAAAAGTCTGGCTTTTTTTGAAAAGGGAGACTAGCAAGTGTTAGAAGTGTTAAAAACGTTTTAGGACCAAATTAAGTCTTTCTCTTGACTACAGAGAAGGAATAAAGGAGAATTGAAAGGAGAGGGACTTTTTGGCCCTTCAGTGAGTGGTGTTTAAAGCAGCTGCCCTGTACTCGGGCTCACTGTGGTGCTTGCCCATGGCCCAGGAAGCACCGTGCCAGCCCGGCCTTGCAATGACCCTTCGTGCCCTTGCCCACAGGTGCTGGATCCGGGACTCCTTGGTCAGCCACGTCACCAACCTGGGCCTCTTCAGCCTGGTGTTTCTGTTCAACATGGCCATGCTGGGCACGATGGTGGTGCAGATCCTGCGGCTGCGCCCACACGCCCAGAAGTGGCCCCACGTGCTGACCCTGCTGGGTCTCAGTCTGGTCCTCGGCCTGCCCTGGGCCTTGGTGGTCTTCTCCTTCGCTTCTGGCACCTTCCAGCTTGTGGTCCTCTACTTTTTCAGCATCATCACCTCCTTCCAAGGTAGGCATGGAGAAAACCCCACCCCCGGGCCCAGGCAGGGTGCCCATACATAGTGAACAGACCAGGGAAGGGATGACCCAGATGACCTGAAGGGCCTTCTTTGGACCTCAGCCTTCCCATTCGTAAAATGGGGGCATCCAGGCCACAGTTGACAAGTCTTTATCGAGTACTTACAATGCACAGGCCCTGTGTGAAGCCCTAGTGCTGTAGTTGTGAACTGGTCGGGCAAAGGGCCTTTTGCTTCCACAGAGCTCATCTCTACTGGGAAGGCCAAGTGTGACAAGCAAGGTCACAGACATCAAAGGGCATCTAGGAGAGGAGGGAAGTCATAATGGGCAATGTGATGGACAGTCTGAGCTTGGGTGGGGGACACTTGGGGGAGGGAAGCCTCTCTGTATAGGAGACGTTTGAAGACAACAGAAGGACCCAGCCATGGAGAGATCAAGGGCCCGTTACTCCAAGTGCGTTTCTCAGACCAGCAGCATCAGCATTGTCAGGAGCTTGTTACAAACACCGACTCTGGCCCACCCCAGACCTGCCGAGTCAGAATCCTCCTTGTAACAGACGCCCAGGGGATGCAGCTCACGTTACAGGCTGAGGAGACCTGGTCTAGGGGTGGAGTGCTCCAGGCAGAGGGAGAAGCATGAGCAAAGGTCCTGAGGCTAGAACTACGTTATGTGTTGGAAGAATAGTGAGGAGCACGGCTAAGGAGTAGTGAGTGGGGGAGGGGGGGAGGGGAGGGGAGCAGAGGGGCTGGATCATGAGGGCCTGGCTTGATGCCATCAGGGTCCCTTCCTGCTCTACCTGCACCCCTCTACCCCCGCCCCCCGACATCTCACACATATACACACACACCTACCTTTATTTTTGGCCATGCTGGGTAGGGAGGAGGACTTGGGCAGGAAAACAGGGAAGGCAAGGCCTCCATGGGGTCCCCATGCAATGGGAGTGGTGTGTGAGGGAGGTGAGTCTTTGTTTTCTCATCTGTGAAGTGATGAGAAGTGAAGTGAAGGGGACTCTGTAGGGATTATAAATGATGCCCATAAATTCACACATTTACTGAGCTATTAATAAATCACAGTATTATGATTTGGGGAGGAGCATATCACATGGTACTTACGCAGGTGGGCTCCGGAGCCTGACCACTCCTGCTTGACTCCTGGCTCAGTCAAGCCCCTTATCTTCATAGGCCTCAGTCTCCTCATTTGTAAAATAGAATAGTAATGATGAGGACTGATCTCAAGGAACCTGGAGAGAATAAAGTGAGATGATGTACAGGGCATTGCCCAGTGCCTGGCACATGGTAGGTACTCCTAGTAGGGATCACATCGGTGTGGGGAACCTGTTTAGGGAGGGGGGCAGGGGCAGATCTGGGTCAAAGGAAGGGAGCGGGGTTGGGCTGGGGCTGCCCCCAGCCTCTGAGCCCTGTGCCCCCCACAGGCTTCCTCATCTTCCTCTGGTACTGGTCCATGCGCCTGCAGGCCCGGGGTGGGCCCTCCCCTCTGAAGAGCAGCTCGGACAGTACCAGGCTCCCTATCAGCTCGGGCAGCACCTCGTCCAGCCGCATCTAGGCCGCCAGCGCCCCGCCGATGTGAGGAAGCAGAGTTGCGGTCTCTCTTCACTGCTGCTTGTGGCCCCTGCAGCCAGGCCAAGCCAGCCGGAGACTTGAGAAGGCCCAAGGACCTCAGAAGGATGGGGCTGTTGCCATGGCAGCCAGACTCCCAAGCTGGGCCTTCTGAATTGGCCGGGGGGCTACTTGCCTCTTGGGTGCAGCTCAGGGGGCTCAGGAATGGGACTGAAGGCTGGTCTTAATGCACCACCACTGGACTGGCCCTCACGGCTGGAATCTGCAGGCCTTGGACCTTGGAGGCTGGTGGCATCCTTGGCCCTGTGCCCCAGCCCAGGACAGGAATGTGCCATAGCTGTTCTGTCTCTGGTGATCACCATGAGGGCACTCTGTAGCCCCTGTCATTTTAATCTAAGGATGGCCCGCAGGGAAAATGAGTTGGGGCAGAGCTTTGAGCCAGACCCCTGGAGGAGGAGTAGTCCTCCCTGGAGCATAATGACAGCCCAGGGAGGGAGCCGGGCTGTCGTTATGCTGGCCCTCTGAGCCCAGGGCCATCACCCTTTGTCAGCCTCCCCAGCCCTCCCTCCCTCTCCCCTTCCTGGTCCTCCCTCTCCTTGGACCTCCTTAGCCCTCCACTCACAGCCCGGAGTCCCCAATTCCAATGCTGGATTTTGGGTAGTGGGTCCCAAGAGCTACCTGGTGCCTGCTGTAAACCTTTATCTACTGCATGGGCGTTTGCCTGCCCCTGACTTGGCTTAGTATAAACGTTCTGGGCTGGGCTAGGCCCATCTTCCCATCTGGGCCTCTCCACAGCTGCATCACCCTAGCTCACCACTGCCAAGCCGACACCTCACAGGGGCCCGCAGCCTCTCCCGAAGCCCTCTCGTGGCAAGAACTGTGGAACGTAGCAGTCCAAATTTGTTTCCACCCCAGCATTCCAAAGACTGAGACACGCCTCCCCTGGTGATGCTTGTAGAGCCTGACATGCTCCGTAGAACCCCTGCAGACGATCTTGAGCACACCTCGCAGCCCATCACGGTTAATTCTGTTGGACACAGGTGGCCAGACCTGGTCGCTTCCCCTGCGAGCTCTCAGTCTAATGTGGGAGGCATGCATGAGACAAGAACTCTTAGAGGTACAGGCACAGAGTTGGGGGAGCCCTCATTCCTGGCTGGGACTCCAGGAAGGCTTCCTGTAGGAGGCAGCATTTGATCTGGCTCTCAGCCTTAAAGATGGGGAGGATTTTCTTTGTAATTACCAGTTCATTTGTCTTTTCATGTTAAAAAGAAGTACACGTTCGTCGTAGAGAATTTGGAAGCGGTAGAGTACGTAGAAGGGTAACATAGAAAAAATAAAAATCAGCTGTTATCGCCCAACCAGCCGCGGCAAGAATTTCCTTCTGAGCTTTTTTCTGTGCTTAAGAATCAATGATAAAAAAACACCTGGGGGCCAATCAGGAAACATGAACAAGAGAAGAGGGCCATGCATGAAGGACATCTGCTGGAAACGTTGTCAAGGCAAAGGTGGGGGGAGGAATGGCAACTGGGTGTCAGTGCTGGGGGAGCTGCGCGTGGTCTGTGGTGAACTGAAGGTTACGAGCCCCGTGCAGAGAATGCAGCTGCTGCTCCGCTGCAGCCGGTCGCCACCTCGGAGGGATGAAGGCCCGTGTAGCCAGACTGCCTGCCTTTTAATGACAAATAAGAAATCCAGATCGTGCTGGTGTAAAATCCCCTGATTCATAAAACTTGGCTAATCCAAAATATTCTCTGGTCAAAGAAATCACGTCTGAGGGCTGAATTCAGCCCTTGGCTGGTCGCGGGACCTGTGTAACCAGTTTATTGCCCGGTGTGAAGTGGATGGGCTGCAAGAATGAAATGACTGGACTTTTCTGCCATCGCTGCCTTACAAACTTGTCCCGGCAAATTTCCCCTCTCCATCCTGTGACACAGGTGAGGCAGGTCAAACAAGTTTCTGTCCCCCTTCAGTTATGGGAGCAGTCTTGTTCGATCACGGCTCTCTGTGCCCAGGTCTAAAGGTCCAGCACAGGTCCAGCCCAGGCCCACACCTGAGCCTTGCGCCCCTGCAGTCTCCTCCCTCCTCTCCTGGCTTGCTCTGGGGGAAGTGCAGGCTGGGGAAAGAGGCAACTCTCTGGAGTTGGACGGGAGGGGTGTGAAGTGCCTTGGTGGCTAGGAGTGGGCTGGCAATCGTGTGATGAGCGTGAATGTGGGATCTTTGGGGACCTGCAGGGACCTTGGCACATGGGAAGCCCCTGCCCCCTGCCTCTCTCCCAACCCCTCCTCCTGCTGCTTCCATTGGCCTCTGCCTCCACCTTCTCGAGGTGGTGGGCTCCTCTTGTGCCCCAACCCCTGAGGACAAACCTTCCCCACAGTGTCCCGGTTGAGCAGCTGGGTGGGATCAGAGCCAGCTCCACTCTCAGAGACCTCTCTCGGGTCTCTCGGACCCCCATCACTTGGCTAGACCTGAGGGGATACCTACCCCATCCTCAGAGAGGTAAGGAAGGGACCCAGCCCGCTCCCCCGGGAAGGTGGGACTCCCCTCAAATTCTCCCACTTCAAAGAACTCTCTTGACACCTACTTTCTGTTTCCGAGGGCAGCTCAGGTAGTGGGGCTGGGGTGCTGGGTCGGGTCCCATCCTCTCGTGACCCGCCCTGCACGGGCCACCTGACAGCTCCGTGGTGCTCCTTGACACTGATGGTTCTTATCATGCGCTTCTCTGGGCTGTGGGTCTTTGGACAATAGAACCAGTCTTCCCACCAGGACGTAGCCAGGTTTGTTTCCCCTTTGGAGTGGGAAATGGATTGGAGTGGCCAGGGTGTGAGTGCTGGCCAGGCCTGGCCAGAGTACTGGAGGCCTCGCACCTGGAGACAGGTGCCCACCTGGAGCCGTATGGACAAGCTGGGGGTGGGAGGTGGCAGAAGGGGAAGGTTTCCCCTGGAATTTAGCGGTCCCAGGGCTCCAAGTGGCCCTCCCTCTGGCTCTGCCGGACCCTCCCTTGTCACTTTGCCAAGTCCCCGGTTCTGTCTTCCCAGGTGTGCTGCACACGATCCGGGTCCTGGTCTGCAGGTCTCCAGCCTCTTCATTACAAACAGGCATCCATGAGCCCCTCTGGAGGGCCCAGGGGCCGGGTGGGTCTCCAGTGGTGGGCCTAGCAGGTCACAGTTCACAAAGCCGTCCACCCTCTCCCCTTGCCGGGACATGCGGCTGGGTGGGAGGAGGGGCATCCACCCTCCCAGCCTTCCCTGCAGAGGAAGTGCCTGGGGCCCATGTCAGATTCCCATCTGCCGCCCAGGCCCCATGTGTGGCCCTGACCCTCCCCAGGCCCAGAGGGCCTAGCAGGAAACTAGGACACTGTGTGGGAGGAAGGGGAAATAGAGGCCAGTCAGGGCTGGGCGGGTCCCCGTTAGACCCCAGGGTGGAGCAGGGCCAGCTCTGACCGTGCGGCCCCGAGAGCGGATGCTGGTGATGATGTCCTTCCTTGGCGGTGCGCCCTTCACCTTCTGATCTCGAAGTAGCCAGCCAAGGGCCCTGGCCTCATCCACGTGGCTTCCTTGGGGCCACCACAGTGGGGGCCTCGGTGGTCAGCCCTTCCCCTGCCTACATACTGCACCCCATATGTGTTTGCTGCCCCACTTCCCGTCTGGGCCACCTGTGACCCGCTGGTGATGGTGATGATAATTTCACAGTACTGATAATCATGATAGTGATAATAATGGCCACGCTCACTGACTGAGCCATTGCACAGGCATCATCTCATGAGTTCTCCCCATGCCTCCTGAGAAACTTGCCTCCTAGCAGAGGTCGGCTCACGCAAACAGGCCGCCAGGAAGTGGCCAGGACAGATGTCAGCCCAGGCCCGACCAACCCCCAGGGCCCATGCTCCTGTCCCCCGCCATCCTGCCCCTCCTGTTATTCAGTCGGCTGGATGGGGTGCGGGGCCTCCAGGCCTGACTCCTCTCCTTCCAGGACCTCAGCAGGCGTGGGCTTGAGCCTGGTCTTGTTCAAATCACAGGCATGAATGAGGGAGTGCGAACACTCTCCACATCTTCATCCGCATCCCTATAGCCAGGCCCTGCGCCCGGCACGCTACCGGTCTCCTCAAACCCCAACACAGCCCTAGGGGGCAGCCGCATTGCTATATTCGCTTTACAGAGGACGAAACTGAGGCTCAGGAGGCTCAGAGAGGCCCCCAGCTTGTGAAAGGAGGATCCGAGGCAAGGGTTCCTGACTCCAAAGCCTGGGCTCGCCGTCACTCCCCAGGGGCCTGCTTGGGTGCAGAGGCCTCTGTGGCCGCTGAACCCCAGCCCCGCAGCACCCAC